GCTACCTGAGTTCCAATACTGTGGAACACCCTGCCGTCATCGTGGAATGTCCTCGAGTTAGGTTTAGCCCCAGAAAATTTGACTAGACCAACATTTCAACGCGTCCATCAACCAACACACATTCACACAGGAAAAATGGACACACAAATTGATATGGGCTTGACAAAACACTTAAACAAGACCTAAACACACCAAAAACCAAGAAATAAGCAAATGAAAATGAAAACAAGGGTGGAGTTGCCTCCCCAAAAATGCTTTCTTTTACGTCTTTAGTTAGACACAACAAGCGAAACTAAGGGGCCTCAAGGTAGATCACTGCCTTAGAACGATCTATGTCACCATCTATGCACAACTTAAAGTAGTGGCCATTGACTTTGAACGTCCTCTTCTGAGGATTTGAGAGCTCGAACACACCGAAGGGAAAGGTCCCGACTACCTGGAATGCAACTTGCTATAGCCAAGCTTCATGTGAAATTTGTGTAAGATAACTTGATCGCTTGGCTTGGATACCTTGTGCTCCTTCAAACGAGCGTCGTGGAGGCGCTTCGTCACTCCTTGAACAACTACGTGTTCTCATAGGTGTGGTGGCACCATTCCTCCAACTCTCATTTCAAACAACATTGACACCGAGGTTAAGCAATTTAAGGACCCAAAAAGCCTTATGCTCTACCTCTATGGACAAATGGCAAGCCTTTCCATAGACAAACCTATATGGTGAGGTGCAAATAGGTGTCTTGTAGGCCCTGTGGTATGCCCAAAGTGCATCATCGAGCTTGGTAGACCAATCCTTGCAAGACTGATCTACCATTTATTCCACGATGCGCTTCAGCTCCTGGTTTGTCAACTCAGCTTGACCAATTGTTTGTGGGTGGTAAGCTGTGTAGATCTTGTGAGTCACACCTGATGACTCGATATTTGCACATGTTTTTCCCTCTACTTCTTGATCGTTTAAGTTTTCATTATCTCTTCTTTGGCCTATTTTACGCTAGGATGTGTTCCTTTGTCACATTTCAGGTCCTAACATATAAAGTGAAGCATATACGCAATTTTCAATTCAATCAGAGACCAATTGGCGATTCGGGAGAAGAAACTCAGGCATGACCTAAAGAAAAATAGATTTATGCCTCATTTATGGACAAAGAATCATGCAAGCTTGTCAGGAAAAGAAAGAGAACGATACTACGAGCGTCTGGGATCAAACGACGACTGATTCGGAGTCCGGACGAGGGAGAAACGAAGCATTGAATATTGGGGAACATGTTCGGTAGTGAAAACACGGGCATACTACCCTAAAAACACGGCCGTGTTTTATCTGGCCGCCGCTAGTGTTTTTACTACCGAGGGCATTTCGTGAGGGCTGCTGGGGGCAAAACACGGGCGGGCAAAAGTAAAACACGGTCGTGTTCTCGACCGTGTTATGCCCATAATCGGGTTTTTTAGGCAGATTCAAGCCAAAGGAAAGAGAGAGCTGGGTTTTGGTTCCCAAACACCAAAGGGACGAACCCTAGATAGATAGATAGATAGAGAGAGAGAGAGAGAGAGAGAGAGCGACTTGGGAACATTCTTGGAGCTATTTTGGAGGATTTCTTCGCCATTGAAGCTTGGGAATCAAGCTTGGAGATGGAGATTGAAGATCTAGATCAGATTTCTGCAGTCTCTCTCTTCTCTGTGGAGTATGGAGTAACTTCCCTTCACTTAGGTTTTGAGGAACCCTAGTTCCATGTGTTAGGATCTTTCTTGTATGAAGTTTTGGATGCTATATAGTTTGATTATAATCGATTGATGCATGATTTATTGATTCAATTGAATCATGATCAAATTCTTTTGATTTCTGCCTTGACCTATGATAGATAGAATCTGATTAGGTTAAGAGAGCTTCTTTGATTGATAGCGGTGAATTGGTTGTGCGAGAGTCAATCAATTCACTGCTTTGTACTGGAATTCATTCCAGTAGTGGAGATCTGTGTTTATTGCCTCAGCGGTCTATCCCGGTGAAGGCTAGTCACTTGCCGAGTATTCTGTCCAAGAGGGCTTGGTCAGCTTAAGAGATTCCAAGCTAATTTAGGATCTTCCGCAGTTTAATCAACAGTAGATCAACCAAAGGTAATTGCAACTTGGACCTAATTGAGGAGCTAGGGGGAATCATACCTAAGTGACTACCCAACTTGTAATTAGTAGAGTAGTTTAGTAAATCAATCCTTAATCTAGTTTGCTAGATAATGAACTGAAGCTGAGTAATAGTAACTCTAGATACCTGTGGATTCGATATTTATTACTTGTGCCACTATACTGCAGTCCCTTTCATTGGTTACACTTAGCCATTGTTAGGCATTGTGTCGTAGCGTGTCAAGTTTTTGGCGCCGTTGCCGGGGACTTTCTAGATTATTAGGAAAGGCATAAGTTTGTTACTTTAGCATTTTTTTCCACCCTTTCTTATCACTTGGGTGTTTTTGTTTTTATTGGTGCAGATCTAAATCATGGATCCTAATGGATTCTCCAACGAGTAGGGGTATCCACCACCATTTGAGTGGTATTACCTCGAGACTTCCTGGAGCAATTAAGGAGGAGAAGACTATGGATTCGGGTTCCAGTTCCAACCCCCTTACAACGGAGAACAATCAGACCCCTGGGCATATCAAGAACAACCTCCTTATCAAGAAGAATTCCTCCACAACTAGAAGGACCATCAGATCTTGATTTTTCCACAGCCCTCACGGGCCATTCGGTAGAGCCATGCTACACTCCACAGCCAGATCCAAACTATCACTTGAGGCTTCTCGTGGAGCATATTGCTCGAGCACCTGAGAGATCCTTTCCCGAGATGGATCCTCATATCCAGTTCATTGTCCAAACTGACTTCTCCTTTCCCCGTGAAACAGAGGATACCCTTCGGAGCATAAAGAAGCACATAGAGGTCATTGAGAAAGCTTGTTCACAGTTTTCTCAAGACAACCTTTATGCTGCCGTACAAGTAGGGGAGGAGGTAGAAGAAGGCAATCATGAGGATGTTGAGGAGCATACAGAAGTTGTAACGGAAAGCTCCCATGATAATCATGATCAAGTGTATCCTCTGGTGGTAGATCACAACTTTCCCCATTTCCGCTTTGACATGCTGGGCCCGAGCAAGGAGATGCAAGCTGAACTTATTGAGAACCTTGCATGGCGACTTGGTCTCCAATCCGTTATGGAAGAAGAAGAGAGAAAAAGGGTGAGGAAAGCAGTTGTAGAGGATGAGGAAGAAAGTAAAGAAGAGGTAGTTCTTGATCTTTTCCAATGAGGGAGACCACATTTTGAAGAAGGAAGGGGGGTTGAAGAAACGAGTGGTGTCAGGGCTAAGGATGAAGTTGAGGTGGATAAGGCTTGCACCGGCCCTATAATACAAGTAATATCCCCACCAAACTTTTAGGAACTACTTAGCAAGGACCCATTTGCAGTGTCTCTTTGCCAGACCAAGGCCACATCGACATCGGTCCTTCTTGGTGGACGCGATGGTGGTCAGTCGATACGGTTATATTTGGTCTGGGGCAATGAGACAAGAGAAGGAAGAGGTCTCGAGGGTGGAGACTTCAGCTGCATCAAAGTGCACGAGCCTTCATCACCTGCCACACCACCTGCTCGTGACTTGAGACTCAACCTCATAGATGAGAACCTCAACTTCAAAGAGTTTCTAGCATGGACCGAAACTTAGGAGCTAGTGCCCGGCTCACGACGTGAAAGACGCGCTTGTTGGGAGGCAACCCAACTAGTCGGTTCGCATTTCTTTCCCTATCTCTCCTCGATTGAGTCAGTTTTGTTCTTTGATTTTAGAGTCAATAACTCAACCTTTGTGAGATTTTGTGTGGTGTTTGTGTTCCGACTACTCTCTCCTCCTAGAATGCAGCACCTGCCCCGCCCACCATCATACACCCTTGATCTGGTAACTTCGTTCTACCCTCCTTATCTTTCGTCCATTAAGGACAATGTCGTGTTTAAGTGTGGGGGGATGTTCGATTATGTATGCGTGTGAATGTTTGGCTGTATGTGTGTGCTTGGAGCCTAGTTCACTGTCCAAATTTTGATTTGAGGAACCCTAGTTCCATGTGTTAGGATCTTTTTTATTTTAAACTTTGGTTGTTATACTGAATGGTTTTAATAAATTGTGGCAGGATTGTTGAGTCAATTGATTCTTGATCACTTTCCTTTGATTTCTGATTTAACCTATGGTAGATAGAATCTGATTGGGTTAAGAGAGCTTTCTCAATTGTGTATTTCCTGAGCTTTGTACTCACGTGGAGGTTAGTCACTCGCTGGGTATTCTGTCTAAGAGGTTTTGGTCAGCTTAAGAGATTCCAAGCTAATATTGGATTTTTTGCAGTTTAATCAACAGTAAAGCAACCAAAGGGAATTACAATTTGGACCTAATTGAGGAGCTAGGGGGAATCATACCTAAGTGAGTTCCCAACCTGTAATTAGTAGTTTTACTTAGTTTAGTTAGTAGAGTAGTTTAGTTAATCAATCCTTAATCTGGTTTGCTAGATAATGAACTGAAGTTGAGTAATAGTAACACTAGAGACCCGTGGATTCGATATTTATTACTTGTGCCACTATATTGAAGTCTCTTTCATTGGTTACACTTGGCCATTGTAAGGGTTGTGCTTTAGCGAGTCAGACCTTGTTCTGTACCTAATTCACATATATCATCTAACACACCCTAAAATCATATCGAATTCAAATAAGAACGGAATAGAGATGCAATTGACGATGTTGAAGAATTTATGCACATGAATTGGCACGAAACATACTTCAATATGAAGGGTAAATAACACCAATTTAGGTGTTATCAAGTGTAGTCTCAAAATCAAAAGACACATCACAATAATTCAAGTCATCATGCAAGTGGGAATGCTTCATATTATCATAAATAGAAAAAGTAATTTGCTCATTGACATCGATGAGTTCCATAATTCACATCTATGATTTCCTTGAAAGTGGCAAGAAAAGGTCTACCCAGAATTAGAAGCACCTCCACATTATCTTTAATGTCAAGAATCACAAAATCAACAGGGTAAACAAATGCACTCACAGACACAAGCAAATCCTTTTAAGTTCCTTTAGGATGCACGATCGATCTATCATCTAACAGTATTCTCATCCTAGTGGCAATAGGTTCACCGAGTCCTGGCTCCTTAATCATTTTATAAGGCATGACGTTAATGCTAGAACCTAATTATGCCAAAGAATTCCCTACATGTAAACTACCAAAGATGTATGAAATAATAAACCTCTATGGGTCTATCCGCTTATCAAGTAGTTTGTTTTGCAGGATGACCGAACACACCTCATTCAATATCACTGTCAATATCTCCCCTTTGGTGAGGAGGTCCTTTATGAATTTAGCATACTTGGGCATCTTCGACAGTGCCTCCACAAATGGCAGGTTGATCTGCACTTGCTTTAGCATCACCATGAATTTGGAGAATTCAGTCTCCAGCTTGTATTCATGTATACGAGTGGGGACAGGAAGTTGAGGGACATGCGCCTTCACCATTGGTTGTGACTTTGGAGTAGGCACCTCTTCATCCTTTTCCACTTGCTTTCCAGAGACTAGAAGTGCTGGATAGGATGCTCTCTTTGTCATTTGACAGATGTAAGAATGTCAATAGTTTGCTTCATACTCCTGAGAGATATGGCCTTTAAATGGGTTGGAGGATGCAGAGTATTGGGAACTATGTTCGCAGACAAAGCACCATGAGGTCTGTTGGTAATAGATGGATCCACATTCCCTATCTGTGTTGATAAATCCCTTAGAATCGTCACTTGATGCCTTTTCCCAGCTTGAATCTTGAAAAACTTCCCAACAGCTAACTCCATGAACTAGTCAATCTTTTTGAACTTCTGGGTACTGGTGGTCATGAAGTTTTTAATTAGTTCTTCCATCTTCGACAACTTGTCAGGTGGAGGTTGAGCATGGCCTGTCGGTCCTTGTAGTTGTTCTTGCTGCTACTGATAGCCACCACCCTGGTTCTGCTATAAGGCCGATAGGGAGGAAGTTGCTGATTCCCTGCAGCTGGTGCATAGAATCCGAGTGGTATAGGAATTGTGGGAGCAACCTACAAGATGTTGGGTACTGGCACCAGCGGAGGTTGTTGGTGTTGCTGTATGGGTTGTTGTCTCCCCGAGCATTGCAGATGAAGTCCAACTTCTCCTGCTAATTGGTGCTCTACATCATGATCGGGTAATTTTGTAGTACATGATTCGGGCTCTAGCACTAGTCGCACATCATCACCCGTGGCTAGCCTCCACCAGGAATGAGGATATTAGGCCGATTCAAAGCTTGTACAAGCTCTCCAACCTGCGCCTCTAAAGTCGACCCAGACTTTGCAGTATGGACACCCTTGGATTTGGAGCCTCTTCCTCTCTAGGAAGTGCCACAGTCATACCCTTGAGCAGCCATGTTCTCAAACAGTTGATTCATCTCAGGAGGGGTCTTATTAGAAAACCTCTTGACAATGGAGTCAATTAGATAGATGTCCACCAGAGAAATGGCTCCGTATAAGTTCCCCTCAAGGTATTGGTCATCAAAGTCGTTATGGTGACACTTCAGGAGAAATCTGTACATCTCTCAAGCATCCCGAATAGTCTCTTCCTCATACTGCTCGAAGCAAGTGCTATGCTTTTAGAGAGCGGCGGTCTTGGACAAAGGGTAGTAGTGGACCACAAACTTGGTAGTCAGATCGTCCCATGAGATGAACTGGAGTGCATGACCCTTGCTTCCTACGGGATTCCGTTCAGTTTGATGCCATTTACCAGCTCGTAGAAGCGGTTGAAGTGATCGTGCAGGTCCTCATGAGCCATCTCATGGAACTAGATAGAAGACTAAATTAGTTGGATCTAGCTGGTCTTTATCTAAAAGTTATTCATGGTGACTAGAGGTTGCGGATGTTGGGACGGATGTCTACGACCTTAGGGCTAAAGTAGAACCCAATGCTTTGGTCTTGCAATGTTAGAGGGTTAGCTCCATTTTTTTTTTTTTTTGCATAGGACAAGGGTGACTCAGAGATGGTTCTTGCTTGACATTTAGACCCCTGAGGTGGTCTTGTTGGCCTTCCATGACTCTTGCTTTGACGGCTTCTTCATCAGACTTTGATTTGTCCTTGACAACAGGGAGATCTAAATCCAGATCCTTGTTGTACTCCACACTGAGCACGTTTAACTTCGGAGTTCTTACAAGAACTCCTCCATTACACCCCAAAAACGCGTCTTGTCAGTTAAGACCGGTTTCCTACTTATGAACCATGGATCTCTCCCGTGCTTTGTCGATGTGGGATTTGTCTAAGGTGTTACAATGACGATGAGAATAATGATGTGGGTAAGGAGAAAACGTATATGTCTCCAGATATTAATGACAATGATTGTGCTAATGATGCTACGAAACAAACTGGTCTTATTACTGTTCTTATTAATGATTGTGCTAATGATATTAATGTCATGATGAGAATGTTAACAAGGAGGGACATGGTGAGAATGGATTCTGCTCTTATTACTGTTGATGACGAGAATGCTGGTAAGCAATGGGATGGTTAGAGTAACGTTGATATGTGTGTAGCCAATGATATGATGGCTTCTAAGGATGGTGTTGACATTAATTGTGGCAGTGATGATCTTATTATGAAGAAGGTATTTTACTAGTTTGTTATGTATGTTTTCTAAACTCTGTTTTATATATTTGTGATTTTTGTAATGATTTTTTTGGTGATGATGATATTGTGAAGGATTGCAATTTTGAATGGAGGGGATGATTCCAGTGTTGCAGAGAAAAGGATAAGGGGATGATTTGGTTGGTTCTAAAGATTGAGACCAATGTCGCAATGATAATTTTGGTGGTCTTGATGATCTTACATTAGATGGGTTGGTCAAGAAGATTACAAGGATATTTTTATGTTGTGATTATATTGCTGTTAGTTTTCCTATTTAGATAATATTTAGTTTGGGTTAAGAATTTTGTGGTGTGTTTCTGTTTATGTAGTCTGCTGAAAAGGATGTGGTCGATGGGAAGGGGAAACAAATTGATGGTGATAAAGTCCTTGAGGGTTGTGATGCTAATGTTAATTTTTCTTTGACTAAGATGATTGATAGTCTTCGAACGGGAAAGGTAATAATTTTTGTTTTTGGTTTGCTTTCATGTATTTATGATATGCTTTGGAGTACTTGTGGTTTGTGTTAGTATTTTTCTAAACTATTTTATCTAACTTTTCTTGTGGTTTAAACATTATAGAAAAAGGTGAGGGTGAAGAATGTAGTAGGGTCGTGATGCTAATGTTAATTTTTCTTTGACTAAGATGATTGATAGTCTTCGAACGGGAAAGGTAATAATTTTTGTTTTTGGTTTGCTTTCATGTATTTATGATATGCTTTGGAGTACTTGTGGTTTGTGTTAGTATTTTTCTAAACTATTTTATCTAACTTTTCTTGTGGTTTAAACATTATAGAAAAAGGTGAGGGTGAAGAATGTAGTAGGGTCGTGATGCTAATGTTAATTTTTCTTTGACTAAGATGATTGATAGTCTTCGAACGGGAAAGGTAATAATTTTTGTTTTTGGTTTGCTTTCATGTATTTATGATATGCTTTGGAGTACTTGTGGTTTGTGTTAGTATTTTTCTAAACTATTTTATCTAACTTTTCTTGTGGTTTAAACATTATAGAAAAAGGTGAGGGTGAAGAATGTAGTAGGGTCGTGATGCTAATGTTAATTTTTCTTTGACTAAGATGATTGATAGTCTTCGAACGGGAAAGGTAATAATTTTTGTTTTTGGTTTGCTTTCATGTATTTATGATATGCTTTGGAGTACTTGTGGTTTGTGTTAGTATTTTCTAAACTATTTTATCTATCTTTTCTTGTGGTTTAAACATTATAGAAAAAGGTGAGGGTGAAGAATGTAGTAGGGTCGTCAGGCTTTGCTCGTGCTGCAGCTGTGATCAGTGCGTAGGGTGTTAACGGCGAAGTGGTAAAGTGGGTTGTGTTATATAGTACGCGAGGGACACCAACAACTTGTAGGTGAATATATACTGCATGCAAATTATAGTTGTTATATATCTATATATATATGGTTCATTCTAGCGTACGCCAGTGTTCACACTATCGTATTTTCGTCGAGGTTTACTTTTTAGAGCACGAATTAACCAGAGTTTGTGGCATGATAATATACCTTAACTTCTAAGAGGTAAAACCCATAATCTAATTCTCTAATTCGAACCAAAAGATTGATTTAATCTAAAAATAACCTACGGTTCTGATTCAACGAATATATTGAAGTGCAAATAATAAGTGTGAACAACAGGGCACAATGTATGACAGGCGTACGATAGCCTTTATATATATGGTGCCTTTTATTGTACCTTGTGTAAAATCTAGGGTACAACATACCTTAAGTGAGAACAAGCTATCTAAATTTTGAATTAACCGGATTTTTGGGCACGATACTATACCCTAACCTTTGATGGGTAAACCCTAGGTTTTAGTTATCTAAATTATAGAGACAAATTCTACGATTGTCCATGTAATTTGTTGCATATATTTTGATGAATCATGATCGTCGATTTTTTTCTCATTAAACTGGTACTAATATATTTTGATCTTCAAGGGCTTGAGAATAGTACTAGATGCCAAACTCCGGTCAATTCAAGGTCTATATAACATTTACTTAGTCAAGGTATGTCATACCTTTGATTTTATCCACGGTACGATAGAACCACCCATATATATGTATACGGCAAAGGCTAGCGTACGCCTAGTGTACACTATATAACACCCCGGTATTTTAAGTTTAGGTTCGACCTTAATACGTGATAGATTGGATTGACGGTTACGTACTAAGAATTACAACCGCGGATTAGGAATAATAATAATAACTATTATTATTATTACTATAATCAAATAAAAGTTTATAAATCAGACTTGGGGAGGGGGCGAGCGGCCCTAATAATTCACAACCCTCCACCCCCGCCAATATTCCCCCAGGAGCCGCCCTCTCCAATTTGTTTTGCTCGGGGAAGCAGCCGCCATTGCCTTGTCCCGAATGCGAGGCAAGAAGAAAACCGGCGGTGAGTTGTGCCCCGATCCCGACTCCGACCCCATCCCTTTTGTTTTAGGTAAGGATCACGAACCCCCTTCACGATTTTTAAACTCTATTTATCGATAGTCTAATCCGAAGGTCATATTTTATTAGCGGTGACGTTGAGGGTTCGATCAACAAGGAGATCAACATCCCGGGTCATCCAACCTAGGCCTAGGCACGTTCTAGAGGTAAGGGCACTGGATCCCTTTGAGTTAGATTGATCGATTTGGTGATTTTTGGCGAGGGTGCAATTCTGGGTTTTAGCAACAGGCGTTACAGGATTTAGTGACATATTTTGGGTAGTCACTAAAGCTGCTGGGAATTTTTCAGAAACGTATTTTTAGACGTCTAGGAGATGATTGTAATTTAATTTGGGGATTTTTGAAGGTGTATTTCTATTTTTAGAAATTGTTCGAATATTTTTTTTAATTAAATAAAAATCTTTCCGAGGGCATTTTAAGGGTTTAATAATTTTCCAGGGTATAGGGGCTCATGATTGACAGGGGAAAATTATTATCTGAATTTTTAAGAAGGTTCAATTAGGTGGAAAATTCGTTCAATACTAAAATAATTAAGAAAAATGGTCGTTTTTAAGGGATTAATTCTAGAAAGTTTTAGTGGGGGTTCAAGGACCTTTGGAGTGAGGATTAAGGATGTGATTTGAGTAGAGGGTGTCTTAGAATATGATTTTCTTATTAATTGGTTTCCTGGGATAATCCGGCTAATGAGGGAAAGAAGGCGAGAAAGTTAGCAGCCGATCGAACTTCGTAGTCTCGCGTGATGAAGAGGTTCACACCGATTAGTAGGAGGGGAAGAGCCGCGTCTATTAGAGGCGGAAGGAAGGCCGAGAACTTGACATCGGTGATCGCAACTGTCAGGGGTAAAGTGATGGAGAGGCCCTGACCCTATCCTCCCAGACGACCCGGGGTGTCGGCAGTTCGTAGTTGGCCGCTGAATTGTGGCCCGAGGAGGGACCTTGAAGAGAATGGTGACGGAGCTCCAATGATTAGGGTCGTTGAAGATGAACCGATAGAGGAGGAGCCAAAAGAGGAAAAACGCGCGGGGCTTGAGCGCGAGAATGCAGACGTTGATGCGACTAAATAGGTGAGTGTAAAGGGGGTAAAATCTATTTCGAGGTCTTTTTAGTTTATGCTTTTCGTTGAAATTATTAATTAGTTAATTTTTGAGTAATGCGTGATATGTGTGTGAGGCATCCCACCGCCTATAAAGGTAGAGGCACGCGTTGTGCTATGTATGAATGTATGTTTGTATGGTGGATGGTATGAGGAACCCCCGGGCTGTTGGGCCACTACTGGACGCGGTAGATGGTCGGGTCACTGCTGGACGGCGAGACGTAACGCAGCAGTTTATCGAGTATGTTGGGTCACTACTGGACGGCGAGACGTAACGCAGTAGTTGACGGGCATGGACAGGACTGCGAGACGTAACGCAGTGCCATTGCCGAGTTTGGGTATGCAACCGGACGGCGAGACGTAACGCGGTTGGCACACTAGGGTAGGGATACTGGACAGCGAGACGTAACGCAGTGGTCCCTTGTGTTGGTGTTTTTGGATTAGTTGTATAAGAAGGAAATTCTAAAGATAAGATAGGAGTAGAGATCTCTTATATATTGTTTGATAGTAAAGTTTAAGGGATGAAAGTAAGAACGATTATTTAAGAGCAGAAAGCGAGAACGACTTTCATGCCAGGAAGGCATTCCCCTAATAATGTGTTTAGTAAGGAGTTTGCCTAGGGCAAAGACCTTAGGAAGTAACGACGAGACTGACCCCTTCTCACTCATGGGTTGAGGATAGTCTAGCATAAGTGGATCACGAGAAGAAGAAGGGCGAGGCGAGCAGCAGTACCAGCGTCGACGGGATATCGAAAAGCTCGTGAGGAGTCAAGTTAGATTAGTTAATTATTCTGTTTCATGGTTATTATTATAAACTGGAGATTCCGTGTTAAGTCGTTTTAAGTGTTTGAGATTGAGAATTTGCCCAAGTGTTGGGGCTTTTCGTTAAAAATTCTTAAAAGATGTCAGTTTGTTTATTTTAAAAATGTGGTTGGGTTGCTCCGGAGTAACTGGTTTTTGGGTTGAGTTATGGTTTGGTTTTTGAAAAGAGACGGGACGTGTCATTTTGGTATCAGAGCCGACACTCCTCTGTTTCATTGGCCTCCAAGGAATATTGGAGTGACGATCTGCGTTTTTTTAAGGTTTCAGTTTTTTTAAAAGGAAAGGAAAAAGGGAGTGTCAATTAAAAGGTTGGCCAAACGAGTCAGAGTCTTTCGAAATTTTTTAGAATCTCCAATATACTCTAAACATGATAAGGAAATAGCTTTAGGATGCCTCAGGGGGTATGATACGTCTTGGGAATGAGAAGGAACAGATTCCTAGAGGGATCGTTTAGTGAAACCCCTTTCATGAGTGAGAAGAGGAGGGTCAAGGTAGCTGATCAGAATAAGGTTCTGGAAGGAGCCAAGCAGTTAGTACATCGACTGGTAGAGCCAAGGAGTTATGGCAAATGTAGCCATAATCGAGAGGAAAATGTGCAAGGAAGGGTCGTGGAGTTCATGAGAATTGAACATAGGGCTACAACCCCAAGGAGCAGCTGAAAGTTAGACTTTGAAAAATACTAGGGCCACCTAAGCAAGCAAAAGGAAGGACTAAGTATATCATAGGGAGCATAACAAGATGTCATGGGATCAATACATCAAGGCTAGAAGGAGGTACAACTCCTTGCAAAGAAATTATCACAAGTGAAACATGGAATCGTCACAACGAACAAATTTCGAGGTCGAAATTTTTCTTAAGGAGGGGGGGGGAGGGGGGAATATGATGTCTCGATTTTGGATTTAGGTTCAACATCAACTACCAGAAGAATTGGATCAACATAACAGGCCGAATTGGCAATTCGTTTCACCATGTTTGGATCAAGCTGGGGAGTAAAAAGGGCAGTGGGACACTTATGGTTACACGAGTGCTGCAAGCTAAGGAAACTTATTTGAGAAAAAGGTACCAACGAGGTTGTTATAGTAAGAATAGATGATCGTGGGAAGAAAGTATAAGGAGGGTGTTGATAGAAGGATGAGTTCCGAGCAAATTTCGGGGAAGAAATTTTTATAAGGGTGGAGGAAGTGTAACACCCCGGTATTTTAGGTTTAGGTTCGACCTTAATACGTGATCGATTAGATTGACGGTTACGTACTAAGAGTTACAACCGCGTATTTAGGAATAATAATAGCTATTATTATTATTACTATAATTAAAAAAAAAGTTTATAAATCAGACTTGGAGGGGGGGCGAGCGGGCTAATAATTCCCAAACCCCCCGCCAATATTCCCCCAAGAGCCGCCGCCCTCTCCAATTTGTTTTGCCCGCGGAATTAGGCGCCATTGCCTTGTCCCCGAACGCGAGGCGAGAAGAAAACCGGCGGTGAGTTGTGCCCCGAGCCCGACCCCGACCCCATCCCTTTCGTTTTAGGTAAAGATCACGAACCCCTTCGCGATTTCTAAACTCGGTTTATCGATAGTCTAATCCGAAGCTCGTATTTTATTAGCGGTGACGTTGAGGGTTCGATCAACAAGGAGATCAACGTCCCGGGTCATCCAACCTAGGCCTAGGCACGTTCTAGAGGTAAGGGAACTCGATCCCTTTGAGTTAGATCGATCGATTTGGTGATTTTTCGTGAGGTGCAATTCTAGGTTTTAGCAACAGTCGTTACAGGCTTTTAGTGGCATATTTTCGGTGGTCACTAAAACTGTTGGGAATTTTCAGAAACGTATTTTTAGATGTTTTAAATTCTCTCGAGCCACTCTGAAGGTTTTTTTCTGAATCTAACAATTTTATAAATTGTGCGACGTGTAAGAGATGATTGTAATTTAATTTGGGGATTTTTGAAGGTGTATTTCTATTTTTAGAAATTGTTTGAATGTTTGTTTTAATTAAATAAAAATCTTTTACGAGGGGTTTTTAAGGGAGTAATAATTTTCCAGGGTATAGAGGCCGATGATTGATAGGGGAAAATTATTATCCGAATTTTTAAGAAGGCTCTAGTTATGTGGAAAATTCATCCAAGACTAAAATAATTAAGAAAAATTGTCGTTTTTGAAGGGATTAATTCTAGAAAATTTTAGTGGGGGTTAAAGGACCTTTGGAGTGAGGATTGAGGATGGGGCTTTGAGTAGAGGGTGTCTTAGAATATGATTTTCTTATTAATAGGTTTCCTGGGATAATCCGGATAATCCGGATGAAGAAGGAGGGAAAGAAGGGAAAGTTGATTTTCTTAGAATATGATTTTCTTATTAAGGAGGGAAAGAAGGCGAGAAAGTTAGCAGCCGATCGAACTTCGTAGTCTTGCGTGATGAAGAGGTTCACACCGATTAGTAGGAGGGGAGGAGCCGCGTCTATTAGAGGCGGAAGGAAGGCCGAGAACACGACATCGGTGATCGCAACTGGCGGGGGTAAAGTGATGGAGAGGCCCCGACCCTATCCTCCCAGACGACCCGGGGTGTCGGCAGTTCGTAGTTGGCCGCTGAATTGTGGCCCGAGGAGGGACCTTGAAGAGAATGGCTGCGGAGCTCCAATGGTTAGGGTTGGTGAAGAGGAAAACGATGAACCGATAGAGGAGGAGCCAAAAGAGGAAAAATGCACGGGGCTTGAGCGTGAGAATGCAGACGTTGATGCGACTAAAGATGTGAGTGTAAAGGGGGTAAAAGCTCTGTCGAGGTCTTTTTAGTTTATGCTTTTCGTTCAAGTTATTAATTAGTTAATTTTTGAGTAATGCGCGATATGTGTGTGAGGCATCCCACCGCCTGTAAGGGTGGATGCATGCGTTGTGCTATGTATTAATGTATGTATGTTTGTATGGTGGGTGGTATGAGATATGGTTATGGAAGTTACTGAAGAAGTTGAACATGACACAAGAAGAATCAACTGAAATATTTGTGGATAACAAGTCTTCCCTGGCGTTAGCAAAGAATCCGGTGTTTCATGATCGAAGTAAGCACATTGATACATGATACCATTTTCTAAGAGAATGCGTGGAGCAAAAAGAAGTGATGTTAAAATATGTGAAGACTGAAGACCAGATTGCTGATATCTTCAGCAAGCCGCTGAAGCAAGACATGTTCGTCAAGATGTGGATGCTCAGAGTAATGACGAATTAAACTTTAAGGGGGAGTGTTGAAATTAAATGTTAACGGATTGGCTATTAAATTATTTTTGAAAAACTTAGACTATTATTTTGTTTAAAACGAAAGTCTTGATTATTATATTGTATTTACCCACAATATTATATATTAGGATGGAAACTAATACGTGTGAATTTCTAGTGATTGTGCAGAGTCCTGGTTTCACAGCGAGCTTCAAATTGTTGCCGTGACAAACTAATCTTACTTCCACAGTCACATCCTAAATGCCAACAAACAAAATCTACTTGGGCAGGAATATAATATAACATAATATAATAGTCACAATGCTCTGGTCTGGTCTGGCCTGCTAATAGTGACAAATGAAGGCACAACCCTTGCCTTGCCTTGCCTAATCAGAACAGAAACTAATGCAAGTTAGGCCACAAAAGCGCATGCAGCTATGCCCTATAAATAACCCCCATTTCTGTCCCCCCAAATTCACTCATGAAAACAAACACACTACCATACCAAAACCAATACTAACGTAACCAACCCACGCAGACGCAGCGAAAGAAGAGAGGCATGTCTCCCTACGCTTTCCTCGTGGCTGTGGCGTTGGTGGGCGCCCAGCTGGCAGCCACCGCAAGGAGCAAGGAGAGCTCGGTGCTGTACACGGTGACCAACGCGGCCAACAACACGGCTGGTGGGTCCCGATTCGAGACGGACATCGGGGCCAAAGTCGCCCGGCTGACCATGTACGCGGCCACGCGCTCCACGTGGAGCGTGTTTAACCAGACCGACGAGAGCGGTTCGGAGGAGCGGAAGAAGATCAGCGCGATCAGCCTCTTCATCGAGGACATGACGGCCGGCGGCGAGAACCAGACGGCCGGCGGAGACCCGGGCATCTTGGTGGGCTACGCCAAGGGCACGTCGATCCACCTAAACGCACACTTCATCGGGAACTACAGCGGCAACCTGCGGAGGCAGTTCAACGGCGTGATCTACGAGAAGGTGGCGAGCATCTGGCAGTGGGACGCGCGTGGGGAGGCGCCGGCTGGGCTGATAACGGGGATAGCCCACTACGTGAGGCTGCAGGCCCGCTACGGTACACCGGAGAAGGTGAAGCCCGGGGAGGGGGAGCGGTGGGACCAGGGGAACGGGGTCACGGCAAGGTTCCTGAGCTACTGCAATCAGCTGAGGAGTGGGTTCGTGGCGGACATGAACAGGAAGCTCAAGCACGGCTACACGGATGGCTACTTCCTGGACTTGCTCAAGATGCCCGTGGACCATGTTTGGAGCAACTACAAGGCCAAGTACCACTACAAGTAGCTACCTTAAGTTGACACTCTTATCTATCTATCTATGTACGCGCGGCCAGCCAAGCCAAGCCAGGGTTGGGCTGGGTTGGGTTGGGCTTTGATTTTATTGCTCATGGCAGGCAGCAGGGGTGAACAGCCGGTTTCAGCTTAATTTCTACTTGTTTGAGTTATTACGTTATTAATTAAACATCATCAGTTTTGCTATCGGAGTAAGTATCTACATTCCGTGCATCCAAGCTAAGTGAGCCATACTCACTTCAAACGGGTTTCAAATACTAGTTCACCTATTCTTAACCCTGCATACCCTATCTAGTAGACGTCCATTCCAAATAAGTAACATTAGTTTGATTTTCATCCCCGAAACAAGGACGGGAAAAACATATATAAAACCATCCATTTAATAATGAAAGACTAATTATTCAATCATGAAACTCTCACAGATTAATGAAATCAATTAAAATCCAATAAGTCTGACCAAATTATATAAAGTTGTCTAAATCTTTAGTCTATGTTTCTACTATATATTCTTAAGGAGAAATTTTACAATGCTATATAGTATTGGTGCAATAGGTTTTTGTCTTTATGGTACAACTTAAAATTGTACATTTACGTTATGGTACAACTTCAGATTGTACCTATACTTTTTGTACAAATTCTTTTATGGTACAACTTGAACTTGTACCTTTATGTGATGGTCCAACTTCAAGTTGTAAAGTTGTACCATAACATAAGGGTACAAATTGCTTTATGGTACAACCTAAACTTATACATTTAATGTTATGGTACAATTTTAAGTTGTACATTAAAGCACCAATACTATATAGCATAGTAGAAGTGCTCTAAAATTAGACCTTATATTTAAGGCACAAAAATTTGTCAAGAGTAGGCAAATAACTATGTCGAGAGGGAAGAAGCAATATTTTTAACTAGTTAACAAACATACAATCAAAAGGTACATTCTTCTAGCATACAGTTTCGTGAAGCGTTTTGAATTCTCTAGCCATAAAGCTTTATCTTGGCTTTGATCAATGAAACAAAACAACAGTATCCATCTATACCTGCTACCATAAAATATAAATAAAAAACTAGCAGCTTGTTATTATAAGTAACGATGACCTTGTAGACACCATAATACAGGAGCACAAAATCGTAGTGGCTGATGATATGCAGTTGCAAAGATGTTTGGAGCTTACTTGCATTATCCATCTCAGCTCTTAGTAGTAGCAAAATCGTAGCTATAGAGAAAACATAGAGGAGAAAAGCTTCAGAAATTAAATTGCAGAAAACCTGCTGTATACCATAAGCTATACAGAAACCGTAGAAACCCAGTACCAACCAAAAAGCCCATAGAAAAACAGAGCATATCACGTTATGCATTTTTCAGGTTTTGACATAGATTTGGACGTACAAGTAGTCTAAAGCACATACAATAAGCAACATGTGTAGCATATCTCTGCAAGAAAACATTAATGCAATAACTCATGCCAAACTGTCAAAAGTTCTAGGTATTGAGGATTGAGAAACAGTCCTGTTAAAAATCCAATGGTATGAGCAAAAAAGTTCAATATCTGATCATACCGTTCACTTATGCTTTTTAAGACTTTTCTCCCGCAGAACCCTTTGCCACTTCTTATGTTGGCACTTTTGTAGGTTATGATGAGTGATTTGGGTCTAAATGTACACTTCTCATCCCCATTTATCTTTTACGTTTGTGGCATTTGAGCTCCGAATGGTGTGGTTTTACGCTAGGTTTGTTGTGTTTCAGAGTCTAACAGGTGAAACAAAACTCGGAGTCGAATGTTGGAAGAAATGGCAAGAAGATCGGACCCAAGGAGGAAGCAGCCGAAGATCACGGTCTAGGAAGGAAGTTCATGGTCATCTGAACCGTGAACTAGAGCCATAAACCGTGAACTGGCAGGGTTCTAGAGCGGTTTTACAGGTTACTGGCATCAACCCAGTTCACGGTCTTGCGACCGTGAACTGAAGCCATGGACAGTTAACCAACTTAATGAAACGGCGAATTGGTTCGAGTTCACGGTCTCCACCATTAGTTCACGACCGTGAACCAATACCGTGAACTGGGCTCGATTTAACTGTGTGGATTGAATGATTGTGTGTGGGTGATGTTTAATTTTAGATTTGAGGTATATTTCATGGTGATTGTGCATTATATGTGCTTGGCAATCTATTGTGCGATTCTAACCTAGTTTAGAGAGAAATCCCTTTTTCTTAAGAGGCTCAAATTGAGATGGGTTTTCTTGGGCATTCCACACCTCCTACCTTGGTTAATGTAGGTTAAATATCTAAACTCAAATTGAATACCTAGGTTAATTGTGATTAAGCCGTCCAAACCCCCAGTTTGAGGGAGAAGGTAAGTCAACCCTTAATTGCTTGTTGTCAAGAGGGCTACATTTGTAGCCTATAATGCATTCCTTGGCCTAGCAATTGAGAGTGTGATTCTAACCACTGTTGCTCCTCCTAGCGGTTCACAATCGCCTTTTCCCACACTTATTCATTCGATCCCACTCACAAACAACAATCCGCTAGATAATATTTCAAACAATCGAAGTAGGGGTTGAGTCAAGTTTTTGGCGCCGTTGCCGGAGAGCTTCGTTTCATTCTTGTGAAAATATTGTTTGGTGTTAATCTGGCTTTTACTTTAAGTTTTGATTGTGTGAAGTGTTGCTTGTGCTAGACATATTGTGGTTCTTTTGAGTGTGCAGGACGATGTATGACCTGGAGTAATCTGATACCTTTGGTGCCGCTCGATGGGGATGCATGGGAAAGATTCTCAGATTACTTCCTCCAATTCCCTCACCATTGATTCGAGGAGAAATTTTGGATAAAGACCTTCTATGGCGGGAAATTAAGGAGGGTATCACACCCAAAGAAAGGAGGAAGAAATCTTGGAGGGGATGGATGAATCGCGCTATTGCTCTGAACAAGGACAAGGGAAAGAAACATCGGCCAAGAAGGCCACCCTATGGAGTTTAAATTGGGAGGCGACAAGCTTCGCCCAGAGATCATGGCGGATTCACTCTCGGTGGCTTCATGTTCTCAAGCATGATAGATGGCAAATCGATGAATGTGGTAGGCTCTATTCGACCTAAGGCAGCATTATATCATAGGAGATTGATGGAATTGACTCCCTTAGGGATTACCCGGACGATATGGGGTGAGGAGTGACTCGAAGACGCCAATAACGGGCTCTAAGGGGGTTTTCTCCCTCTTAGGTCAAAATCTCAATACATGAAAATGGAAACCCGACTCATATCATTCATGAAAACATCCTTCAATTAAGTAAAATCATCAATCAAACATGGAATGTGTCACATACATCAACATTAAACCCAAATCTAGACCTAAACCAAGACAAGAGGGTGAGTTTCTAGAGAAAGAAGAGAGAAATTACAAATTGGAGCCCAAGATCTTCTTCTTCTTCTAGGCTTGAATCCTTGTCTTCAAGATCAACCCAAGCCTCCAATTAAGCTCTAAGATCACTCAAGCACTCTCTTTCTCTCTCTCTCTCTCTCTCTCTCTCTCTCTCTCTCTCTCTCTCTCTCTCTCTCTCTCTCTCTCTCTCACACACACACACACACACTAGAACTCTCCTTTGGTGTTTTGGGTTGAATTAGAGAGAGAATCGAATCCCTCTCCAAAAACCAGCTTTCCCTTCTATTCCTTCTGCTGCTGCCTTTTATACCCAGATCGAAAGTTGTTCACGGTCTTAGTTCACGATCGTGAACTCAAAGCCTGGACCGTGATCTCGGCCAGAAACACGCTGTTTAACTACAGCACTTCACGGTCTGGAGCTGAAGTTCACTGTCTTACGATCGTGAACTGACTTAGCGCTAGTAACTTGTAGAAATGCTCTGGAACCTGCCAGTTCACGGCCACGGGGCAATTGTCATGGTCTTTGGGCATTTTTTTCACTTTTTCGTGCTTTTTGACCTCTAATCGACCCGAAACTCGTCATCGACCTTCCCACACGTGCTAGGACCTGAAATATAACAACAACAAAAAAAATAAACACAACCTAGCGTAAAATAGGTCGAGGGATGGTGATCTACTAAACAAAACGGACAAGAAATGAGGGGTAAAATATGTGCATTTGGACCCGAATCTCTCCCCCACACTTGAACGTTTGCTTGTCCCCAAGAAAATCAAGTACAAAACAAGGTAAGCTTGCAACTTATCTTTTCAACAAAATTTATTGGGGCTTTTCGTATGGACAAAAACAAAGTAATCATGGCAACCACCACAAACGACATTTAACTATATTAAGATTGTGCAAATGAAGAGTTCTCACATTATTCATCAGCACAACATGCATCGACGACGTACCAATCACAATTACTCATGCATGAAGATCACATCATAGGAACGAATGATCGAGCAACCTAGGTCCTCACAAGAGTAAAAGAAATGAACAAAACATGATGAAGAAGAATCGATCACACTCGACCAGTGGGGTCAGAAGCATTTCATGCAAAAGATGTGCATATTCACGCTCAATCCTAACGTCCCTTTACCATGATGGTAGCTGTAAATGCTAGAGCTCACAAGATGGGTATCGTTGCTAGCTTGTCCGGAGGTCTTAGACATGGATTCAAATGACTGGCTAGGGTCTCGGACATGGGGAAAAGGCTTTTTGGGTGGTGTCAAGCACAAGAGTGTAGAGGTAAATAACATGTTATTGTTTCTATAGCTTGCATGCCAAGAAACACTTCTAAGAGCATATCCCACATTTATTATATTTTGGTGGCCACTCTCTTTTCTTCTTTGCCCTTTTATTGATTTCTTTTTCTTTTCTTTTCTCTTTTCTTTTAGGGCTATAGAGAGCTATAAACACATGCCAACTTTTTCAGAACAATGCTCACTTTTAAGAACTACCTCCACACTCCCTTAACATTCTTACCAAAACCATACACAAATCGCTCCTGTGGAACCTCATTTAAGCTCAAATGCTAAGAATGGAGCTTCCAAACAAAAGGGTGACTTAATACGGTGTAGACGCAAAGAAAGTAGGGTCGCTCTATCTAAATCATCAAGCTCAAGTAGCGTGAACTACCTAACACGAGAAAAAAAAACTTGACTATCCACAGATACACCACGATTTAAATCTCGACTAGAGCTTAAGCATAAACTCTAGCCGGGTGCAGTATAGGGGAAAGTATGTTTTAATCGTCAAACCGGAGCCGGTCCATGTACCCCTATTTCAATCTCCTAGTTTGTTATCTAGCAAACGTTTGGGGTTTAAAACGAAGAAAACTATAAATGAAAACAAGCAAGTAAACTAAATCGAGATTTTCCCAATGAGAGAAGAGTCCACCCAGGTATTGCTCCCCCTAGCTACATATCAAGATTTCCTAAATCAAATGCAAATGTGTGGAGGTGTGTTAATGCACCGTAGGAGGGCGCA